GTTCTATTATTCAAAAATTTAAATCCAGGGGATATGATGGCTGTTGTCTCTGAAAATTATTCATATAATTCACTTGCTCTTGTGGTTCACTTGTAAATGCCTCGCATGCACCATTTACATGGTTTCCTCCACAAAAATCACAACTTAGCTGACTGGTAGGCATACTCTCTGTTTGCATATTGCTAATTTGTTGTGTTAAGGCAGCTAATTATTCTAAAAACATTTGATTTTGTAGCTGATTCTGTGCAAGAAAAGTTTCCAGAACCTTAGCTTCATGACCAGAGTTTCTTCCTTGATTTCTTGAGTTTGAATTCTGATACATTGAAGATGCCATCATCTCAATAATTCTCTGAGCTTCTTCCAAGGACTTTGTATTTAATGAATCTTCAGCAGCAGCATTAACCATTGTTCTTGTTGCTGCATTCATCCCATTATAAAAAGTTTCCAATTGCATCCAATCTAGAATACAATGATGTGGACGCCTTCTAAGCAATTCTTTGTATCTTTCTCAAGCTTCAAACAATGATTCTCTTTCTTGCTGCACAAAGGATGTAATTTCTCCTCTCAACTTAGCAGCTTTGGATGGAGGGAAGTACTTAGTTAGAAACTTATTCACAAGTTCTGTCCAGGTTGTGATGCTTCCTTGTGGTTGAGCTTGTAACCAGCATTTTGCTCTATCTCTCAAGGAAAAAGGAAATAGTCTCAATCTGATAGCTTCTTCACTAACTCCATTCATTCTTATGGTGTCACATAGCTGCAGAAAATTTGAAATATGGAGGTTAGGATCATCAGAATTTCCACCAGAAAACTGATCCTATTGGACTAAGTGTAGTAGGGCAGGTTTAATCTCAAAATGGTTGGCTTGAATAGTTGGCCTAATTATAGAATAGTTAAAACCTTGCATGTTAGGAATAGCATAGTCCCCTAATGTTCTAATTCTGTTTTGCTCTGCCATTTCTATTGCTGGATTTGGTTGTCTCAAAGGTGTAGGTGTTCTTTTCACTCTAGAATTACTCTGAAATTCTGGAGAATGGACAGCTTCTAATTCACTATCACTCCCTATAACTCTTTATGCTCTAGACACTTTTCTCAATCTTCTCAAAGTTATGTCTATGTCAGGATCAAAGACCAGAATTGATTTATTCTTGTTTTTACCATGCATATACAAATCAGATTAAAACAAAATTAGACTACAATCATTATTCAGAAATGTACAACAGAAATCATGCAAAATCTATCAGTAAAAGCATATAGAAACTTAAATCTAGCAGTTGCAGAATTGTAAAATCATGTAAAAATATGCAGAATGACAATTACAAATATGAAGAACAATGAAAACCGAAATTATGCAGATAAAAAAAAATGTAAAAACTCTATGCAACAGACAACAATATTATGCAGAATACTACACAAGGTGCAGCAAGATTATGCAGAAAGCAATTTGAAAGCAAAACAACAAAATAAATGCTCAATCTAGTTACTTTTCTACTACTAATGATATTGAAATGCAAAATTCCCCAGCAACGGCGCTAAAAACTTGTTGTTCGCAATCTAACACTAGCAAGTGCACTAGGATTACAGCAAGTAATGAGTAAATTTAAGATCCAAATATCGTCTCTACAGGGAATTTAGGTTTCAAATACCACTTCATAGAATTATAACCATTTAAGCTTTTTCAAAATTGGAAAGAGAGTAGTAACATGTAATAACAGCAAACTAGAACAATTAAAAGTAAAATGAACTTGCAGAAAACAGAACAATGAACAAACAATTATGTGATAACAGAGAAAGAAACCATAGCTAGGGAATTGCTTCACCAAAACTCCAATGTTTAATCAATAAAGTTCTGAATTAACAAGCATTTGAAAAGAAAGACAATCAGTTTCACGTTCTATTGTTCAGAGGTTAATTCCTTAACTCAGTGAACCTAACATTCAATTAAAACATTCTAATTCCTTAGATATGATTTAATTCAACATTGCTTTAAGTATAAGAAACCAAAAGATTGCAAGATCAAAGTTCCTTATCCCTAAGAAAACTATAATCTTGGTGATTGGTTCATATCTGAAGAACAAATTCAATTTCTATTGACAACAGTTCCTCTGAAATTAGTTAATCAAATTTCCATTCAATTCCTACGTAAAGTGCAAAATCAATCACTCAATCTATTCCAAAGCTTAAAATCCAGATCCAAAATCAATTCAACATATTCGTTTCAGATCTACAATCCCTAGCTATGAACAAATTACACAGCCATGGCAGCAGAGAAAAGAAAAGAAAGAGAAGAAGAAAATCAAAATCGCCATGGAAGCTTGCTCCACTCCAATTCCTCTTCGTGAAGTTCCAAGATTCGAATCCCCACTCCTCTCTCTCACTTCCTCTAACAAGAATCTAACTAAAAAAACTGAAAATGAACAGAATTCCCTCTTTTCGGATCATTTCTGGTATTTATAGAATTTCCCAGATTTTCACGTCATCACTTTTATAAGAAATAGTAGTTACGCAGAGGGTTTATGGTTGCGCGTTAACACTTTTCCCAATAATAGTGGCCACGCGCAACTTCCTGATATATAGAGCTCTCTGAAACTATCACTCTTGCTAAAAAAAGTGACAACGCAGAGCCAAAGTAGTTGCGTGTTATCACTCTTACAGATAAAAGTGACTACGCGCAACTCGCCAAATTGAAGACTCTCTGGAACGATCACTTTTGATGACAATAGTGGTTACACAGAGCTTTCCTGATATTTTGCCCCTAGAACTATCACTTTTAATGATAAAAGTGGTAACGCTCAGGCTTCACTTCTTCTTTGAGCTCTGAAGTGATCACTTTCACTGACAATAGTGATCACGCCCAGTCTGCATTTTCTTATTCTTGTGTTTTTGGAGTCCAGACTTGCTTCTTTCCTCTTCCTTGTCATCAAACCTCCATGGATATGATCCTTGCTCAAATTATTCCTTCAAAAACAAGATTAAAAACTTAATTGCTAAGCAAAAATTTCACAATTGCTAAAATAACTACAAATTTAAACAAAACTTCAATTCCTTCTCTTTTTCTGAGTTTTTCTGCTTTCTTTATATATTTTTCTTATCAAATGTGTTAGAAATATGCTAAAATATCAGTTAAAATATAGATTCATCAATCACCTCTTCAAACTGGGGTCTCCATAGTGTCTACTATGGAATCAGAGTGATCACTTTGGTCTTCCCTTCCAGATCTAGCTTGTTGTAGTGTCCATTATGGAATCCAAAGGGTCACTTTCAGCTCAAACTTTCTCAAATGCTAAAAATCCATGGAATAAGTCTAGAAATTCCTGCATAATTATTTAAATGATCAAAATTACAAATTATATCTATGTAAATCAATGTAAATTAACCAAAAGTTAAGAAACCTATGATATTTGACCAAAATGGTGTTTCTATGTTTTTTATATTTCATAAGTCTATTTTTTCTATTAAAGAACACTAAAAAGATAAGTAAAAATCCAATAAAATGTAGATTCATTACTCTAAGCACTTGAAATGGCTACGCGCTTAACTGCGTAGCTACTCTGAACAGTTGAAGTGGCTACGCGCGCTGTGCAGAAGTGAATTGGCCTTGGGCGTAGGTACTCTAAACACTTGAAGTAGCTACTCTCTTGGTCTTCATAGATTTTCTTCTTCAAAGTGTTAACTCTATGTACTCAGAGTGGTTACGCCCTACACATAACACTTGATTCTTCATCTTTAAAGCTCAATTCCTCTACTTTTCTCACTTCAATCGTCAACTCAAATTTTCAGCTGAAGCTTCTGCACAAGGATTAAGTCATTTTAAGTCAAATTGTTCAGAATTGGACAAAAAATCTAAGATTCTAAAATATTTATACAATTATGAATATTAATGCAATTTTTATGATATTTTCAAGTTTATTTACTATTTAACTCTTTATTTACTAACAAAAACTAGGCTAAAAATATAGTAAAATATGGATTTATCACTTATCACAATGATGAGTTAGTTCTTGATGTTCAAATATTATGTCAAGTTTTTTAGAATTTTGGTCCCTGTGTTAGAGCATTCTACATGACAAATCATTTATGCATATTGGTAGCACACATATATATGGGAAATATAAGGGATCTCTATTAGTAATAATTTTACCAGATGACAATCAAAATATATCCCCTTCATCTTCCTCCTCTAGTTCTGTCATCCCTTACACCCTGCTCATCTGTGGCCTCATTTATGTAATCCTCATAGGGTGTAGGTTCAACCTTTGCCACATTTCCTAATGTACTAATAAATGTTTGTTGTGTTATCACCCAATGTCATAAGTTTTGGTTGATACACATTTTCTTCATTAATAGGTACATCTTCCACGATTGTCTTCTCATTAAGGTTAAAGTCACATTGAGGAATGTGTGGGTATGACATCATCAATGATAAAGTCATATATGCATGCATAGTAACTCACAATGAATATCTCTTTTATCCACAAACATTCGTAAAGGTTCTTGTTATTGGGGTTGTTCATCCCATTGAAATGGCTGTCACTACTTCGTGTGTGGTGACCAGTAAAACTCCTTATTTGGTTGAATTGAGGATGATGGGATCCCCTATTGTTGTATAGGTGGTGTCGCCATGGAAAACTCTTGATGTTGGGATAGTGGTAAGGACATAGGATTTTGCTTCAGCAAAAATTATTTGTTGTTCGGGTGGTGGCTGCTTCATTTGTGAGGACAATTATAACTAATTCATTGCATACAATGTGTACTAACTCCAATATTCATCTAAAAAGTAATAGTGGTTGTAACACCTTGATTTAATTTCAAAATAGTAAATTTCACAAAAATGGGAATAATAAAATTTTTATTTAAATATAATTTTCCATCAAAGAGTTTCATCAAGCATTTCAAAATGATAAGGGATTACAAGTTTACATCAATGACTACTACAGGATTAATTCAATTACATCATAATTTCAAATTAAAATCTAAGCCCTATAGCAGTTTCATTCATCCCTTCATTGAACCCAGTGCTGATCGTCTTGGTAACCTGAACACCACCACAAACTTATCCAAAAACTCATGGAAGATCTTGTTCATATAGTGCAGGAACACCGTAGGCGCATTGGTTACTCCAAATGGCATCACCAAGTACTCATAGTGATTATACCGCATCTTGATTTATGTACATCCTCATCCTTCACCCTGATATGGTGGTACCCCGACCTCAGGTCAATCTTATAGAAAACTGCAGCTGCTCTCAACTGGTTGATCAAATCATCAATCCTCGAAAGTGGATACTTGTTCTTTATCATTACCTTGTTCAGCTGCCAGTAATCCGCACACATCCTCATGCTCTTATCCTTCTTCTTCACCAAGAGCACTGATGCTCTCCACAATGACACACTCGGTCTTACAAACCATTTCTGTAACAAGTCCTCTACTTGCTTCTTGACCTCTGCCAACTCCACTGGTGACATCCTGTATGTCGCCACAGAAATTGGGCATGCCTTCAGAATGAGGTCAATAGCAAACTCTATTTCCCTCTTTAGCGGTAACTCGGATACATTTTTAGGAAAGACTTCTAAGAAATCCCTCACCACTGGGATGTACTCTGGCTCCACCACGCTTTCGACCTCCATCGAAAACATCACCATAAAAGCCTTGGCGTTTACCTTGTTCTCCCCAAATTTCCTACCAAACAACATTATAGAGCATCCTAAACACACCCATGATGTCACAACCGGCTTACCCGTAAGGGTAGAGTACCACAATGTTGCATGACAGTTCCGTCACATACAGACCCAGATTCTTCACACAGTCCACAGTAATAAAAGAGTGTGTAGCACCTGAATCAAACAATATATCAAGTAATCTGCCCTTAATAACACATTTACCTCTGATTAGCTCCTCAGACTGTGAAGCCTCTGCTTCACTCATGGCAAAGACCTTCTTGGGAATACTCAGCTTTGGTCCTGTGCTCGGCCTCGTGCTTGCTCTCGACTCAGGCCTCTGAGCTGTACTAGCACTACCACTCTTCTTGGCGGCCCAGCACAAATTGACAGTGTGCCCCAACTTCCCACAGTTTCTACAAGTTGTCTGTAGTTGTGGGCAGTCCCTCACTATGTGTGGCCCTCCACACCTGAAGCATTTGATCGACTCTCTGAAAGAGCCTAATCCTGAGCCACTTCCACTTCTCTTCTCTTGTGACAAAGTCCCTCTAGACTGCAAATTACTCGAGCCCAAATATGGCCCGTTGGAGAATCTAGGGGGTCTTCTATCTTGCCTCACTAGACCAGTCCCCCTAGTGTCTACTGTCTTGCCCTTGGAATGGCTTCAAAGATTTTGCACTTGCTCACCAGAGTGGGCAAGTATGTCACCTGGAACACACTGACTGCAGCTCGAATATCTGGCCTTAATCCGTGCTTAAACTGAGTACACAAGTCCTCATCCCCCTCTTTATGTTGGTAGTGAGGCCAATATTTCATCAACTCTTGGAACTTAGCCGTATACTCCCCACAGTCATATTCTCTTGCTTCAGTTCAAGGAATTCTCTGACCTTCTACTTCTTCAGATCCCGGGGAAAGTAATTCCCTAAGAAAATCGCCTTAAAACCTCTCATTGGATATAGTCACCTTTTTGTGGTAAGGTCTGATTGGCAAACCTCCACTAGTCTTCCGCTTCTCCACACAGCAAATATGTGGCATAGGCAACCTTGTACTCCTCACGGTACCCCATTGCATTGAAGACCTTCCCTACATCCGCCAACCACCTCTGAGCTCCCTCAGGGTTGAATCTGCCCTCAAACTTTGGAGGATCATGTCGAGTAAAGGCAGACAACCCTCGGTACTCAACCAGCTTTCCACCTTAGTTGTGCATCATGGCTTTCAGAATTTGAGCCTTGCGCTCCATGAGGTCATTGGTGCCTTTAGCTTCTCTACCTCTACTAGCCATTCTAAAAGCAAAGCTAACAAGCAATTCAACAAACCACACTGAACTCGTTAGATCAATAACAACATTTATAAATCAGGTAATCAAAACATATCAACACACAGCTTGGACGCTTCAGCCTGACACCCCAGTCTAGTACAGAACTAATTGGCATGAAATTTTTCAAACATTTAGTCTAGTACAGAGCATCAACTAATTTCAGACAATCACATTCAAAAATTTCAATTCAAACATTTTTCACTGTAGTCTTTTAGGTTAATTCATTCTCTTCAAAAATTTGTTCAGATATATAATAATGTAGCTACGAATCTGCCAATAAGAATATTGAAATGAAGTGAAAACCTAACCACATTGTCTTTTAGTTCCATGTTTGAATCAATTAATCTCAGAATATTTCTCATTTGCCCTATTCAACATTTTCCCAAACTTTCAAACATACAGACCCTAACCACATATTTCAGAAAATGAAGAGAAGTTTACCTAGAATGGAGATGTAGAAATGTATGGGAAAGGGAAATTTCTTCTAGGTCGACACACAGAGGGCGAAAATCAGAGAGCGCGAGAGGGAAATGTGAGTTTTAGGGATGAGAGTGTGTGTGCGTGGTCACTTTAAGCAATATTTATAGCCACGCATGTGCACGTGACCACTCTTAAATTGAAATGTGAACGTTACAATATTAAAAGCATCCAACGTGGTTACTATTTTTAAGTAAAGTGAGCGTTCTAGAGAGGTTGATTTTATAATTGAAATGCGCGTTGTCACTATTGCTGGGCAAAGTGACAACGCGCAAGCTTATTTCTTGAACATGATCACTTTTGTCAATGAAAGGTAAAGTGCACAATTGGATATTTCATTCTTACCTGTGCGTGGTCACTTTATTCAAGAAAAGTGAGTGTTCCAGAGGGGAATTTTCCTTTTTGAATTCTGCATTGTTACTCTTATCAGCAAGAGTGAATGTTCCAGAAGGGCGTATTTTCCAGTCAGCCTCTACGTGCCCACTCTCATCAGTAAGAGTGAATGTTCCAGAGGAGTGTGCTACTCTTCATGCATCTTCATGATCACTTTTATTAGTAAAAGTGATAGTTTCATAAGGAAACATTAACAACAGTCTCTGCGTGACTCCTTTCTTGCAAAATAGTGACTCTTTTCATCAATCAAAGATCTCTAAAACCTCAAATAGCTCACTTATTCAACTCTAATTCTCTTAATACACATTCACAACATCAAATCTCAATTCATGTATCAGATTAACCCAAAAATACAGATGCACCAGAATCATAGAAATGAAATTGCAGAAATTGAACAAAATGAATAATGAAAATTCAAATGCAATGCAAAAAGCTTAAAATGGTTCAGAAATGTGAGTTGCCTCTCACAAAGCACTCTTTTAACGTCACTAGCTTGACGTCTACTGATCTTTGGTTCTAAGAGATGATTTTGATGATAATGACTCTTGCTCTATCTTTAAATGTTTCCCCTTTTTCTTACCAACTTGCAGCTCTTCATTTAATTCAGAACCTGGATGAAATAACAGTGGAGGAACTTCCAGCAGCTTGATAAATTCAATAGCTTGTTTCCCTCCTCTTTATCAGTTTGATATGCCATTGCAGTATGGACTTCTCTTATAATAGAATCATCCTTATATTTTTCCTTCTTGAAATTATGCACTCCTTGAAGAAATCGAAGCTTTTTGTGGTTAGCTTCATCTATTGGCTTAGGTGCATCTTCAAACAACTGCTTTTTGGTTCTTTTCGGTTGTGTCTTGCTGTTGTTCTTTGGTTCTTCTTTCTTTAAAATTGTTAACTGCTCTTCCTTGCAATCCTCTTGTTGCTTATCTTGAATCTTGTTTTCTTCAGATTTATCTAATACCTCCTCTTTCTCAGTAGCTTTAGGACTTGAAATTTCCACCTCACTTCTTGTGCAGAAAACTTAGGTTTGCTCTATTGGATTCACAATGGTATTGCTAGGAAATTTTTCATCATTCCTATTTAACAATTGCTCTGAAATTTGTCCTATGTGCTTCTCCATCTTCTTCATGGATGCATTTTGATTCTTAAAACTTGACTGAGTAAATTCTATAAATTGGAACAAAGTTTCTTCAAGTTCATTATTTATGTTTGGAGAAGTCTTTGAAGGTTGTTGTTCTCCTTGAGGTTGAGAATATGACGCTTGAAAAATAAGGCTTTGAAAAATGAGGACTGGAGAATGGTGTTTTGCAGCTGACATTTATTGATTCCAATCATAATATGGCTGAGTCATATTAGCTTGACATTCATAATCATAAGGAAAGGTAGATTCAGGTCTTTGAAAATTTCCTCTATAGTTAATTTCTTCTTGAAATTCTGGTGTAGCCACATCATAGGTTTCATGTACATGGTTTTCACTATAAAAATCACGCACAAAGGGGTTAGTTTGAGCAACTCCAGCTCGAAAATTAGTAATTAAAGCTTCAAAAGCATCTGCTTCATAAGCTCTTGTTCTTGCAACTTAGCTTTGATGGGAGTTCTAATACATGCTGGTTGTTGTCAAACAATAGAGCAACTTTATTTTTTATGATTTTTCCTTGTATACAAAAAGAAAGAAAACAAAAGTCAAATCAAATTTGTAACTAGGAAAAATGAAATATCAAATTATGTAGAAAATTACAAAACATAACATGTAGTAAACATAGAAAATTATGCAGAAAAATGAAAAACAAGATTATGCAAAAAAATGCAAAAGAATACAGAAAAGTTATGCAGAAAACTACAAAACAGAATATGTAGAAAACACAAAAAAAATTATGCAGAACGAAGATTAAAATTATACAGAAAAATGAAATTACGCAGGAAATGCAAAAGAATATAAAAAAAATTATGCAGTAAACATAGTGTAGAAATTATGCAGAAAACTACACAAAATGCAAAAAAAAAAATATGCAAAAAAATTAGACAATATGCAGAAAAATTCTGAAGCAAAACAACAAAAAGAAATGTTCAATCTAGCTATTTTGTTGTTACTAATGATATTGAAAACAAATATTCCATGGCAATGGTGCCAAAAACTTGTCACACTTCTAAAGAGAAGTTAATTTGGCTAGCAAGTGTACTAGTGTTGATGTAGCAAGTTATAAAATTAAAAGAACTTTGTTAGAGTCCCAAGTATGGTCCTCAGGGAATAAAAGTACTCAATTATCACTTCACAAATTTCAGATGAAGTTGGAATTCAAATTGATAAATATTGAACTCAGAAGAAAAACAGAACAATTAACATACAAATGTGTGATTAACAGATGTGAAAAACATAGTTAGGGAGTTGTTTCACCAAAACTTCAATGTTGAATCAATAAGGTTCTAAATTTTCAAGTAATTAGAAAGAATGTCAATCAGTTTCACATTGTATTATTCAGAGGTTAATTCCTTAACTCAATAAACCTAACATTCAATCAAATCACTCTAATTCCTTAGATCTGGTTCAATTCAATGTTGCTTTAAGTGTAAGAAACCAGAAGATTATAAGATCAAGTTCTCTTATCCCTAAAAAAGCTATAATCCTGGTAATTGATTCAGATTTAAGAAACAAATCCAATTTCCATTTATAAGAGTTTCTCTGTAATTAGTTAATCAAATTTCCATTCAATCACTATGTAAAGTGCAGAATCAATCACTCAATTCATTCCAAAACTCAAAAGTCAGATCCAGAATCGATTCAACACATTTGTTTTAGATTCAAAATCCCTAACTATGAAAAATTTACACAACCATTACAACAGAGAAAGAAAAAGAAAGAGAAGAGGAGAATGAACACAAAAGAGTCATCTTCAATCGATCTTCAATCTGATTCTTCTAGGTTGAAGCTCGATGTTCGTCCCTACTTTCTCTCTCAGACTCTCTCCACACCAGAAAACTAAGTAGAAATGAAAAATGAACAAAAGATGCAAATATTTGAGCGCTTGTGCAATTTATAAGTTTCCCGCCTTCTGCGCGTTATCACTTTTTTTCACAAGAGTAGCCACGCAGAGGCTTATCTGGTGTTCTGGAAGACTGGAATGACCACTTTCATTCATAAAAGTGGCAACGCTGAAAGTCGAGTTGTGTGCGTGTTCACTTTCATGAGTAAAAGTCGCCATGCGCAAGTTGCAAAGCTAAAAGTCTCTCTGGAACAATCACTTTGATGGGTAAGAGTGGTCACGCACAAGTTGCTATGAATGATGCTCCTCTGGAACATCCACTTTCACCAGCAAAAGTGACAACGCACTCCTTGTTGCGAATGAGGTTCCTCTGGAATGTTCACTTTCACCAATGAAAGTGTCAACGTGCAACTTGCTAAGTTTGGAGCTTGTCTGGAATGCTCATTTTCACCAGCGAAAGTGATAACACACACTGTGTTCTTTTGAGAAAGCCTCTGGAACACTCACTCTTATGGATAATAGTGATTATGCACAGACTCCACTTCTCATTTAAGTTATGGATCAATCACTTTCACTAGCAATAGTGATCACGCCCAGCTCAAACTCCATGAAACTTGTTCTTTGACTCTATATTTGCAACTTTTCTT